CCCCCCCCCCCCCCCCACCCAATGCCGACTTGACCTAGAGTAATCAAACATCTATCCCTAACCTCAACATCCGTCATGTCCCGCTCCTCAGTGAATACCGACGCAAAGTACTCATTAAGAATCTCACTCATTTTCTCTGACTCCTCGCATAACTTCCCTCCTTTGTCCTTGAGTGGGCCAACCCTTTCTTTAGTGACCCTCTTGCTCCTTATGAATGAATAAAAGGCTTTGGGATTTTCCTTAACCCTGTTTGCTAAAGATATTTCATGACCCCTTTTAGCCCTCTTAATTCCTCATTTCAGATTGGTCCTATTTTCCCGATATTCTTCCAAAGCTTTGTCTGTTTTCAGTCGCCTAGACCTTATGTATGCTTCCTTTTTCCTCTTTGCTAGTCTCACAATTTCACTTGTCATCCATGGTTCCCTAATCTTCCCCTTTCTATCCCTTATTTTCACAGGGACATGTCTGTCCTGCACTCTAATCAACCTCTCTTTAAAAGCCTCCCACATATCAAATGTGGATTTACCCTCAAACTGCTGTTCCCAATCCACATTCCCCAGCTCCTGCCGAATTTTGCTATAGTTGGCCTTCCCCCAATTTAGCACTCTTCCTTTAGGACCACTCTCGTCTTTGTCCATCAGTATTGTAAAACTTACGGAATTGTGATCACTATTCCCAAAGTAATCCCCTACTGAAACTTCAACCACTTGGCCAGGCTCATTCCCCAACACCAGGTCCAGTATGGCCCCTTCCCGAGTTGGACTATTTACATACTGCTCTAGAAAACCGTCCTGGATGCTCCTTACAAATTCTGCTCCATCTAAACCCCTAACACTAAGTGAATCCCAGCCAATGTTGGGAAAATTAAAATCTCCCATCACCACCACCCTGTTACTCCTACATCTTCCCATAATCTGTCTACATATTTGTATCTCTATCTCACGCTTGCTGTTGGGAGGCCTGTAGTACAGCCCCAACATTGTTACCGCACCCTTGCTATTTCTGAGCTCTGCCCATATTGCCTCACTGCTCGAGTCCTCCATAGTGCCATCCTTCAGCACAGCTGTGATATCCTCTTTGACCAGTAATGCAACTCCTCCACCCCTTTTACCTCCCTCTCTATCCCGCCTGAAGCATCTATATCCTGGGATATTTACTTTCCGATCTTGCCCTTCCCTCAACCAAGTCTCAGTAATAGCAATAACATCATACTCCCAGGTACTAATCCAAGCCCTAAGTTCATCTGCCTTACCTACTACACTTCTCGCATTAAAACAAATGCACCTCAGACCACCTCTCCCTTTGCGTTCATCATCTACTCTCTGCCTACTCTTCACCTTAGTCACACTGACTTCATTATCTAGTTCCTTACAGGCTTTAGTTACTACCTCTTTGCTGTCCACTAACCTGCTCATTTGGTTCCCATCCCCCTGCCGCATTAGTTTAAACCCTCCCCAAACAGTGTTAGCATAAGCACCCCCTAGGACATTGGTTCCAGTCCTGCCCAGGTGTAGACCGTCCGATTTGTAATAGTCCCACCTCCCCCAGAACCGGTCCCAATGTCCCAAAAATCTGAACCCCTCCCTCCTGCACCATCTCTCAAGCCACTCATTTATCCTGCCTATTCTTTCATTTCTACTCTGACTAGCATGTGGCACTGGTAGCAATCCTGAGATTACTACCTCTGAGGTCCTACTTTTTAACTTGGCTCCTAACTCCCGAAATTCTGCTTGTAGGACCTCATCCCATTTTTTTACCTATATCATTGGTGCCTATATGCACCACGACAGCTGGCTGTTCACCCTCCCCCTTCAGAATGTCCTGCAGTCGATCTGAGACATCCCTGACCCGTGCACCTGGGAGGCAACATACCATTCGGGAGTCTCGTTTTCGACCACAGAACCGCCTATCTACTCCCCTTACAATCGAATCCCTTATGACTATAGCCCTTCCACTCTTTTTCCCGCCCTTCTGTCCAGCAGAGCCAGCCACAGTGCCATGAACCTGGCTCCTGCTGCCTTCCCCTGGTGAGCCATCTCCCCCAACAGTATCCAAAACGGTATACCTGTTTTGGAGGGAGATGACCGCAGGGGACACCTGCGCTGCCTTCCTGCTTTTTTTCTGCTTTTTGGTCACCCATTCCCTTTCTCCCTCAGCAATCCTAATCTGCGGTGTGACCAATTTGCTAAACACACTATCACGACTTCCTCAGCATTGCGGATGCTCCAAAATGAGTCCATCTGCAGCTCCAGAGCCGTCATGCGGTCTAACAAGAGCTGCAGCTGGACACACTTCCTGCACGTGTAGGAGTCAGGGACATCAGCTGTGTCCCTGAGCTCCCACATTGAGCAAGAGGAGCATAACACTGGTCTGGGATCTGCCATTTTTACTCTTCCAGTCTTCCAGAACCTCAACATGACGTCCCAACTCCTGTACTCCGGTCTGAGCAATGAAGGCAAGCGTGCTAAACGCCGCCTTAACCTCCCTGTCTGTATGTGATTCAAACTTCAAAGAATTTGTACCTGAACCCCTAGGTCTTGCTATTCTACAACACTATCCAAGGCCCTCCTTTTTATTGTATAAGTCTTGCCCTTGTCTGTTTTGCCAAAATGCAGTACCTCACATTTTTCCAAATTAAACTCGGTCCGCTACTCTTCAGCCCATTGACTGGCTCTGAAGGCTTGAGACACTATATTAATAGAGATACTATATTTGGAGGTGCTATATCAATGCAAGTCATTTTTGTCATGCAGGAGTGTTGAGGCGAACAGAGAATGCACTTCATCCTGTTCATTGTGGTTGGTTTAATTTTATTTCTGCTGAATGGGAATATGTTTTAAGTGAATCTACACAGATGAAGGATATTTACCTGTGCTTTTCTTTCCCAGAAAAGATTCGAGCTGGTAGCTATAAAATAATCTCACCATTAATGCAAGATGTTTAACGGGGCGTACTTTGATGTGAAGGAATTTCACAATCTGTTGTAATTATTTAATCACGCCTGGTCTCATGAAGCAGCCAGTAGTTGTTAAAAACAGGGAGGGGTGGATTACATAACCAGACGCTTCCCAAGGATTAGGGGAGGGGTGGGAGTGTGCAGGTTTTTGAGGAGGCCTTCGGTCGAGGACAGAGCTGTTTTTTTTGACTCGGAGGCGTGTTTTTTTTTGTTGACTGTTGCAGCCTCGGCCCACGCTGACGATATCGCAGTCCCCACAAACGTCGCGGGCCCCCAGCATCATCAAAGTGCCCAGCTCCATCACGCTGCCCATGCAGACTCTGGTCTCTGCCCGGCCGTCCACCCCAACTCAGCCCTCCCCCCCGGCAACCAAGTTCATCATGATGTCTTCGGCGTCGGGTTCCTCCAGCACGCAGCAGGTAGGTAACCCCCCTCCCCTCTCTGCCCGCGGGTGATTGGGTTGGGGGGGGGAAGGGGGAAAGGGGGCAAGGGGGCTCGGCTCAAAAATGGCGAGTGCCCTTCCGGATTGCAAAGGATTAACAGCAAAATCGTTTCCGACAGGGATGAAAATTGGGAAACCAATGGGGTTCCATCGGATCAGGGCATCACGGTGCCTCAGTGGTCAGCCTCGCAGCGCATCCTCGGGCGACTGTCTGTGTGGAGTTTGCACATTCTCCCCCGTGTCTGCGTGGATTTTCTCTGGGTGCTCTGGTTTCCTCCCACTGCTCAAAGGTATGCAGGTTAGGGTGGATTGGCCATGCTAAATTGTCCCATAGTGTCCA